AAAAAAAAAAAAAAAAAAAAAAAAAAAAAAAAGAAAAAGAAGGATCATTCTGGAAAGAATATTAATTGTAAGTAATATACACAGGTCTTTATATGTTGGATAATAAAATCGGATCATTCTGCACATGCAGTTTGATATATGGGGCATTACTTATTAGAAAAAAGAAGGAAAGTTGATTCTGATAGACATGTCTCTGTGTGCTAGATGCTCACAGAGGTGCAGGACAGGCCCAGATGCTCGTGGCTGGGAGCATGGCTGGGGCAGGGGCCTGGGGTCTTCCCTGGCATGGAGGGTGTGTTGGGCCCTCTGCCACAATGCTGCCCCCAGTGTTTATGCAGGCAAAGCTCTCCCTGGGGCCAGGAAGGACACTGACAATCAGGACCCTGATTACTAATGAAGTAGTTAATACTCTGAGAGTCCAGAATAGCAAGGACATAATTTAAAAAGCCTGACGCATGGGTACCCACTCCATTCCTGGGATCCTCTCTTAGCAACGAAACTTGCGTGATGATGTCAGGATACACAAACATATGGAATGTGATCATTTCTGCACCCTAACCTTTCCAATCAATCGATCAGAAAAAGCTGAGGATGGCAGCCTTGGACATGCATGTTTCAATTGTGGGCAGCAAAGGACACCAGCAGCTACACCCTGTTGTTGGAGGGAACCTGTTTTGTCTGGGGGGGGGTGGTTGGAAGTGGAGCCTGAATTGTGCCTTAGGTTAGTTGGCATGAAGTGAAATTCTAATTAGCCACCAGAATTGTCTCAAACCTGGCCAGGGCCACTGTCCAGGCTATTTTAGGGGAAAGAGTCCATTTTTCCTTTAAAGCAGAGGGCTTCAGAGAGTCTACACCTTCCTTCTGAACAGGGCGGTATGGCTGTGGTGAGCACAGCCACGGCAGGGCTGGCAGGCCCCGTGCATGAGTCGGGGTGTGCTCCTGACCATGCCCAGCTGCCCTGCTGCCTGGACTGGGACTGGCCCTTTCCCAGAGTCTGGATGCCATCACATAACTGGCTTCCTGGACTTTGGACCTGGTGATATGAGCAGGCAGGGCACATGGAGGCAAGCTAGACAACCCATGCCAGGAGACCCAATTGTGTGCCAACTGGGGGGCCCCTACCTCAGGTTTCTGCCAACCACCCAGCCGGCACCTGGGTTGTGGGGGGCACTGACCTTTTCGTCCAGCCTAACTGTGACTGAGTGGGTGAAGAGAAAAGAGAGGAAAGGGATAAGGCTTCCTCATGAGGGGGAACTGGGCAAACTGAGCTAGGTGATCACATGGAGCCCTGCCATGCCATTGCATGTGGCTACTGTCACTGAGGTGACGTGCTTTTGACACCCTGTCAAATGCCTGCTCTTGTCACATGGCAGGAACTTTGCTCAGAGCTGAACTCCTAAAAACAGGAAACATACATGCCCTGAGTTCAGATCTTATCTTCTCCTATTGCAGGCAGCCACACCACAAAAAGAAACCACAACCATAATGAGTAATGTTGAACACTTTCTGTAAAATATAACTTCCCAGGAATCATATGGAGTTTTTTTTTTTTTTTTTTGCTCATAGACTTTAAGCCACTGTCTCAAAGACAGCACCTGGCTTACAACCAGTTAGCCAAATCCTGCTTATGCAAGCATCAGTGGGGTGGCACCATGACCACCGGGTTATGTTCCTGACTCTTAAAAATGAATTCCCGAACTCAACACTGTGTGCTCCAACCAAGAAGGAACTCAACCTAGTGCCTCAACTAGCTGTGGAAATTAATTCTCCGTGTTGACAAAAATAGGGAAGCCACGCAAGTCTCTATTGATCCTTCACACCCAAAATACAATCCTATGTTATAAACACAAAGAAGCAAGAGGAAGTTGTGCATTAACTAACGAGCCCATACAGGCTGCCGGGTTGAAGGGTGCACTGGCAAGCAGGTAGGTCAGGCCGGTCCAGCATGGCACCGCAGTGACGCTAAGCAGGCACTCCAGAAGGGGATTCCTGTCCCACCACCCAGCCCTGGCCTGGCTGTCACAGGTCATAGAGCAAGGCTGGGATAGTGCTTTCCCTGGGGATGTGACAACACAAGGTGCAAATCATCTGGAAAAAACAGATCTGAGCAGCCTAAGTGTCCCCAGCACCTGCGTAATGTGTGCCAGGCCCCATCCTTCCTTTGGTGTCAGAAGAATTCTCATTTCTCACATAGCAGACGGGCCTCCTGTATCTACTTAAAGCCAGTCCCCTGCTCCTCTTTCACTCCCCAATCAGTGCTGAGCCCTGCTGTCAGCCACTGTTATGCGTCGGGGATATGAACACAGAAACATCTAATCCTCGCCCCAGGATGCTCACAGTTCTGGGACCCACACGGGATGAGGGGTGTCAGCACAGCAGCTGTGGGACACAGAAGAGGGGCTCCTAACTGGGACTGTGTGTGCTGTGGACAGGGAGAACAGCGTGAGGGAGGGATGGAAGGACACTGCGTGGCTGAGCAGGGCAGGGCTCAGAGGGGCCAGGGGTGAAGCCTAAGAGTCTCCAGGGCTGCGCGTGAACTGACTTGCCCAGGAGTGTGGACTCACCTGAGTCTCCTTTGCTTAAAACATGGATACGAGCAGCTGTCCTGCTTACCTTAGGAGGTTTGTTGTAAGGGCCAAATGCACTGATATATGTATGAAACATTTTTTTTAAAATCTGAGAATTTTTATGAACACTTAAAAATTTTTTTTTAATTTTTATTATTTTATATATTTTTATTTTAACATTTACTTGTACATATTTGTGGTGTACAATGTGTTGCGTGAAACATTTTTTAAAAGTATAAAATGCACCTTACTAGCATAAGGCATTATTACTCAGGAAATATTTAGAATTTAATACCATTAAATTTAACTGCTGCTTCTCTGCAGCAGTTGATGAAATCAAGGTCTCAGATTTAAACTCAAGAGGACAAGATCTGGGTGTTCCGAAGAAAAGGCATAAGCTTACAGAGAAGCCTTTTTCTCCCTTCAAGCAGAAATGAACGGAATGTGTGTGTGTGTGTGTGTGTGTGTGTGTGTGTGTGTCTCCTTTCTCCATGCCAGGGTTCCAGGTCAGAAAATGGTTCAACTTCAAAATTTGGGAGTCAGTCAAAAAGGAAGGACAGTGAATAAAAGCACATGGAAACATTTTCATTATTAAAGATAAATGCTGAAAAATCTGCCCCAGTGACCATTCTAACCTTTTCCCCTTTCCACCAAATATCTTGAGAAGCCCACACTTCTGCACCCTGTGGCCTCACCACCAGCTCACACTCCCTGGTTCCTGGGTCTCCACTTCTGTCCCCTCCCACTACCCTGAAACCTTTCTCATCATGGCTGCCAGTGACCTGCTGATGGGCAATTCCAGGGGACAGTGGCCATTCTCCATTGTATGTGACATATCCACAGCACCTGATGGGAGTCCCTGCATCAGACACTCTCTGTGACCCTCCGGGTGGGCTCAGCCTCTATTACTGTTCGGTTCCTCCACACCTATGGTGCTCCTCAGGGTCTGTCCTCAGCTCCTAGGACTCGGGTGCGCACTTCCGGGGAGTGCCAACCACCAATCACACATGGATGACCCGCAACTGGGTTTTTCAAACCCTTGTGGTGCTCCTGGACTCCAGATCCATTCTTCTTGCCCCTGACTTGCCATTTCTGACTGGGTGTCCCACAGGCACCTTAGACTCAAGCTATCAAACTGAACCTCTCTTCTCCCACCTAAGTAATTCCTCCTGTATTTTCAGTCCCCAAATACCATAACACCCAAGCACAAGCCTCCTGACAACCACTGGACTCCCTGTAAATGACCTCTCTTATCCTCTGTCCTCACTGCCTCTGCTGTGGCTCAAGGTCCCATCGAGACTCACTACAGTCTCCTAACGTGTCTCCCAGCCAGCCTCCAGCTTCTATAAAGGTTTCCCTCCTCACCACTGCAGGGTGGTCTGTTTCATCCCAGGAAGATCCCCTACCTGCCTTGGTGGCGACAGTGATCACACTGGATTGTGTGATCATCTGCTACCATATCTATCTGTCCCAGCGTACATCCCAGACTCCCCATGGGGAGGAACCGTGTATTACTCACGGGACGCCTCCAGTGGATGAGCAAATCGAGCCAAAGGCAGCTGCTTAGTGAGCATTCAATAACTGAATGGGAGAACTCTGGCTGTGGAGCTCCTCTGCAGCTACTGCTGATTGTGAGCTAGCCACGGGCGGGGTCCCAGATATCTCCTTAGAAATCTCTGGGTTCTATGTGAGGTAAGAATGCTGGAGGTAGGTCAGGCCATGATGACAGCATTACCAACATCATAATCCGCCGAGGGTGGTCTCTGAATGCCTGAGAAATGGCTGTGTTGAGTCTCTCCCTGGTGCCACCAGTGGTAATGGATTATGAACATCCCCTCCCTTGAAGAGCAGGAGAAGCAGGGGTCCCAGAGAAGAGAGGAGAGTGCAAGGGGCTGAGTCACCCCAGTCCCAGGCCATCAGCTCCTGAAGAGATGGCACGAAGGGTGTCTGAACATTTGGATGTTCAGGAGCAAACTCAGCCTGGTCTTCTACAGACACAGCTTTCCTGTCTCCAAAGTCAAAATGAATAAACTCACTCTTGCTTTCCTCTTGGCCATTTGCTGCTGTTGTGTTTTGTTCTACATTTGACATCTTTTTAACTTCCCCATCCCAGAGAATTAGGCAGAAGGTACTTTTGTGGAGTCAATATTATTTTAGGTGTGAAATCTTGGACACAGAAAACATCGTTGACTTATCCAAGGCCACAGTCAAAGTACATGGCATGCCACGGTCACCGTGCTACTTGTTGCCAGAGTGTTCTGCACACCAACTTCAGCCCAAGGCTGCAGGGAACAAAGCTAGCACTTCAGTCCCTGTGTTTCTCAGGTGTGTTTCCTCAGGTGGGTTGTTTCCTCAGTGATGGAGGGTATGAATGAATTCTTGAAGGATGCTCCAGAATAAGGGGGAACCACTCTTTGACCATAATGTGTAACAATCTAATCCTTACGCAAAATGTTTTTCATACAGATTTGGAATAAATTGGCCATTTGAATGTTCCCCAAAAGAGAATGGTTTCTTATGTTAAAAATGGCAATAATCACTCAGTTAGACAAGCTGCTTGGTAAAGGAGTTAGCATAAAATTAAGAACCAGCACCATCAGCACAGGTCCAGTTGGATAGCTCACTTGTAATTTGTAATTCACTTTAGTTAAGAACAGGCCTTTAAACATGGATGTGCACTGAGTAGCCTGTGTTGATCCATCCAGAGGTTTAAAAGGAAATCTTTCTTATAAAGTTAAATATGTAAATTCTATAAATATATATAACATATATTATGTGATATGCACTAAATATAACTTGACATAGTGTATATAAGATTATATACACACACACCCCTTTGTGAACAAGTTAAAGAAATTCCTACTCTGTTAAAATGTTTATGTGCTCACAAAACTTGCTTTAGACCGACCTATCTCAATACTTTGTCCCCTCTTCCAAAGGCTCCCTGCGATTACTAGAAGAGGTTAGCACTCAAGCTCTGCAGGCTGCCAATACACAGAACTTCCCAGCCGCCACTCCCAGCCGCCTCTCAGCACCAGCGCACAAGAGTTCCACCTCCGGGGCGGGCCGAGGCAACACTGGTTCACCTGACTGTGAAACTGGGCCTGCTCGGCTTTGGATCTTAGATGAAATCATATAGCCACTAAATGTAAAAATGATATTGTTACCAGGATGACATGGAGATACAAAGGTAAGAAGAGAACCTGTGTAGATAAGAAAAGAACCCTCCCCACTCGCCTAAAAAAAAAGAGAGAGCGGCTGATAACTATTTTTAACACTGGAATAAACTCTTTTTTCGCCAGCATTTAGCATTTTTGAGACACTTCCTAACAGAGTCATGGGGAACCATTCTATTGTTAAGGTAAAGTCTGAAATTATTCTCTCGAGAGCCAGCTATGTCTGTCTGCTAAACGGTTTTGGTCCTCTCTCTCTCTTGAAACCTGGAGTGTTCCTGCTGGTGTTTGTCATGCTGGGGGCAGCTTTTCCCACAACCAGATCCTCTGCTGGTTGGATGGCAAGAAGGAAGCCCTCTTGTACCTTCCCCACACCGTTTGGTCAACATCTCAGCCTCAGATTGTGGGATGAACACCTTGCTACTCTATGAAAGCGTACGAGGCAGAGGCAGATGTATGTAGAAAGGGTGCATTCGACGGCACTCCACCAGAGTGCTGGCACGGCTGGTCACCGGCAGCCCGGATCCAGGGCCTAAGGACACTGCAGCGTCAGGTTAAAAAGAAGCACGTATAACCTGGAAACTTCACTTCAAAGTCATTTCATTTTTTCTGACTTTGGTGAGGAAGCCACATAACACACTCTATAGGTCTGCCAATAATACTTTCCACTGAGAATCTTCCTTGGTCCATTTTCCCATGGCAAAGGTGGAAAGGTTCCCTTGCCTAGTGATAACTTACCCTTTCCAAAGACTTCAGGAGGTTTTGTCTTTCCTTAAGCTTCTGAATACTGATGACAATTTTGTGTCTTGCACCTTTGGTAACATTCTGTAATTAAATACAAGTTATATTTAAAAACACACTTTTAAGAATCAGCTTAGAGACTCTCAGAGGCTATTGACTACTTTACCCCATTTGTTCCTACACATTCACAGGCTGGTCAATATCCATTTATCTCTCTCATTCGTACCCACTGTCATAAACCTCTTATTAAATATTCTACCTTCACCTGGCTACACATTTGCTTGTGTCTTTTGGCTGTGACCTTCAAGGGAGAGAGATACAGAATAGCCAATTATACCACCCATGATGAAAGTTTTCCAGAGTCCTAAAAGATAATTTTTAAGACGTGCCCTTCTCTTTTCTGGCTTCATCTTTTCAGTCCTTCTCAGTTTCCCTGAAGGCCCCACTATCATATGGTTACTCATGGCTTTCTCAGATATTTCCTATATATACCCATCTGGAGGAGATTGGAAGCCCAGGACCATCCACATGTAGTGTCATAAAACACGGGGAATTTTTTGTTAGTTTGCAGCCCTTCTTTTGTTTCCCTAAGGAAAACTAGAATCGGAAACAAATCCATAATTCAGTCATCACTTCAAGTAAATAATTAGGATTCACAGTTAGAGTTGTGGGTTTTGTCTTCTTAACTGGGTAGCAGCAGTGAGCCAGAGGATTTAGTTAAACTTGTTGATTATAGACACTGCAAGTTTCCCAATAGATGGTCTTTTCTCAAGTCAGGTCTCCAATACAAATGTCTGGTGACTTCTTGCAACTATTTCATAGAATTCCTCTCAAAGAAGGAAAGGATGAGAATACCAGTGACGTCTCCTTTACTAACAAAAATGAGGAGAAATGAATTCACTCTCTAAGATGAAACACTGGGAGTGTATTTCTGTTTACTCTTAACTTTGGGTTCAAATGAATTAAAGTACTCTGAAAAGTTTGTGCTGGCCTCTGGCATTGCCCTCTGTGTCAATTATTTCTTGTTTTTTCTACAGTTGAACAACTGATGACTTAGATTTTTTTTTCTCAACTCTGACCCAAACACAAAAATGCTCTTAGAAACAGTTCTCATCAATTCCTGGGATCTCAAGGAGCAATCAAGATCCAAAAAGTGGTGGGAGAAATGCTAGGAAGTTGAAATTAGTGCCTTTTATTCTCTGAGAATGTGCAGTGACTTTGGGCTTTGTCTTGTGTCTCAATACTGGTATTCAGCCAGGCCTGCAGAGGTTAACTGAGGGTACTGAATATGCAATGGGAAACCAGTGATCTCTGGGGAGGTGTGCATCCAGACCAGCCATGTCTCAGATGGTACCATCTCCTCTTCCTGCAGGGGAAATATTGTTAGTCCATTCAGACCACCAATTCTTTTAAATCACTGCTCAAAGGAAACTGAGGTCAATTTGAAACATGCAAATAGCATTTTAAATAAGTGAAACAAAGACATTGGTCAGATGGTCAGATCTATTTCCGAGCACAGCGTGATAGGAAACATGCTTAGTTTTAGGGTTTCTGTTGACAGGCCTTTGGCATCTACCCTTGGGGAAAGATGCCTTTGTCTTTCAAAGGCATCAAAGGGGGAAGACCTTTGTCCTTTTATGGTGTGCAGAAGGGAAGTGAAACTGAGACCTGGGGAAATCTCATTCTCAATGATTTTCCCTTGTCATTCAAGTGGTTAGAAGAAAAAAATATTTTGTTCAATTTACTCCACACTAAGACCAGCCTGATGATGATTTTGGAAGAGCACCAGGGCAGGTCTGAGGCATGACCTGGTGCTTCTACTCACCGGTCCAGTTAGAAGTTAGCTGATTTGTAACCGGACCAGACAACAGAGCCATCGCTCCCCAACCAAGCCCTTGTCGGGCAGAGGGAGAGAGAGAGAAAAAAAAAAAAAAAAAAAAAAA